AAGGCTCATAGGAGACCTTATTACCATGTTACAGTATCTAAAGGATGGCTACAAAGAAGATGGAGATTCTCCTTTTACAAAGAGTCCCATGGAAAAGATGAGAGGTAATGGGTACAAATTAATTCTGGGGAGATTCTGGTTGCACACAGGAGGAAAATTTTCCACAGTGAGAACACTCAGCCACTGGAATAATCTCCCCAGGAAAAATCAGTGTTCCCCAACACTGGACACTTTAAAGTTCCAGCTGGACAGGGTGCTGAGCCATCTTGTCTAGGTCATGTTTTGCAAAGAAAGGTTGGACCAACTGGTGCCTGAGGTCCCTTCCAAGCTGAATTCTACGATTCTGTGATTTTTTTTTCCTGACTTCCAGCTCATTAGGATGGACCATTCTTGAGCTTAGAGGAAGTGAATACCAACCAGCTTTCTTGGGCCCCTCTTTTCTCCAGGGTCTTATCCCATCAGACTCTTCCAAGCACTGAAGAGTCCAAAGTCTCCTCTCTTGAAATCCAGGGTTGTAGTCCTGCTTTCTGTCTTGACACCTCCTCTTAAGATCCTAAACCCCACCACCTCATGGTCACTACAGCCAAGGCTGCTTTCAACCTTCACATCTGCAACAAGTCCTTTGTTGAGTATGAGGTCCAGAAGACAGCTTTGCTCAGGAATTTGTCAGTGAAGCTCTCCAGAGTCTTTGATTGCTTGTGCTGTACCCTGTAGTTAAGCTACAACTCAGATGCCATCCTGAACTCACTTCATGGTCAAATACAAACTCCAGATATACTACTTTAAGGTGCTGCTTTAAAAAACACGTTAGCTACTCTGTCAAAGGATACAGCAGGAAAATTGAGCGTATCTACTGCTAGAGTTAATATTTCTTTAGAGATGTACCTACTATTTAGCAAAAATAACCAAATGTTAGCCTACAAACACCACTGAATTCATCAGTCTTATATTACTAATCAGGTAATTCCCCATGGCTTAGACATGGGAGAAGGTAGCGATTAGGAACTCTCTCGACACAAGAAATAAAGAGAAGGGAAAAGGGAAGTAAAGCAGTATCATCAAGAAAGCAGATGAAGAACGTTGGTAAGAGAGGCAAGACGGTATTTATATGTGCTTTTTTCAATCTCAGCTTTTCTCTACTGAATAGCAAATGCCTTTGATAGCACTAAAGTCAGATGTGTTTTGTGTCGCATTATAAACACCAGATCAGTTACTTCTCTTTGGAACTTCTGCTGAAACCAGCAAGCTCTTCCCCATGCCCTAGTTGCTAGATCAGTCCAGGTAGGGGTTTTATATGTCTTCCCCATCTGTCCATAAAAATATAATTTCAAATCAATTAAAAAAAAAAAAAAAAAAAACCACTAAACAGAGTGTCGTGGTTACTGTTACAGTTGAACCCAGGACACAGAAGAAAAAGACAAAAAGACAAAAAGAAAAAAAAAAAACTGGAGAAGTGGGGAACCGAAAAGTTAAATTGAGCTCCTTGTATCTCATACAATGAAACACCTTTATTTGTGGCTTCAGTAACTGGTGGTTTGATTTGAACAACAGCTGGGAATGCCACGGAAGTGGAAGGCCTAACAATAGTTCACCAGAACAGAGACTGTACAGAAGTAGATGAATCACACTCCTCAATTTACTCAGAGGTACAACTGACAGATAAGTTAATAAAAAGTTAATAAAGTTATCATATCAGAAAAAAAAAAACAAAAAACCACTTTTCCTTCCCCTTCCTAACAGGAATAGTAATTTTTTCACAACCGCTCCACAGGCTAGTCATTCACAGTCTAAGGTGGCTCGAGTTGGCATTACAATGATTCTAACTCAAAAAGACAGCTGTCTTGAAATTACATAATAAAAAAAAATAACTTCTCAATTAAACTTAAACTTACTCAACAACCATAACTATTGGGTGTTAATAATCCACTCATGAATCAGTTTAAAAACTGCAGCTAATGAGACTGGTGCTTTATAATTGACATTATAAACTCTTTCAGGAATGTTAACTTTTACTCAAGTCCAGGTGACCGTATAGCAACAGAGAGATACAACTTTGAACTCATTACCTCATAATGTTTATAATCTAAATATAAATAATATAAATATAATAACGACCCTTTCAATCCGTTCCTTAGTGCAATGCTTCTTCTTGAGTCACCTACATTGTCATTCTCCTACAAAGCACTGTAATTAAATGTAACAGCAATTAAAATGCATAGAGTACTGAGTAATATTTCAAGCAAACATTCAACTATCTTAGATTTGTTTTCTATAAAGCTCTATACAGTCTACAGAACATTGGCTTTCATAGGTTATTTCCTTATTGATAAAGATTTAATCCGTGTTCAAAACTGTCAAATAACCGTAAATACATTCTAAATACACAACAGAGATTCTGGAATAATCCAAATATGATGAGGCTAAACTTGTAAATCATTAATAGCAGTTGTCAAGTTTTAAAGCATGCATTTACCTTTGTGCCTTTTTTTTTCCCCTGCTGTTCCATATAATATTAGACTATAACTTTGCGCCATCTTCCAAATCCCCAGCATCTGTCATACTCTTACCTATCTCTCTGGCACAATGCCACTGTGCTGGATTCCACAAATAATAACATTGTTTCTTAAATAACATAAAAGTAAAAATTATGGGTTCATCATGCTTCAGATACAGATGCTTCCATGTAAAACTGAAGCACACCATGTGGGAAAGAACACGTACTTGGAAAACTTTTAAACTAAAGCATAAGGACTTGCAGCACAGCAGCATTTCTCACTAATTTTGATGGTCCAAGTACAAGTACGCATCATAGTTTCACTAAGTTCCTGCTGTTTTTCTACCTGGAATTCTGCCAGATATTTACTTTTCTGTATTAAATGCAACATCTGCAACACACTGTTTCCTACCAAATGCATCTCGGAAAAATAGCAATCATTTGATTTTGTTTATCACAAATAGGCTGTGACAATAAATTAATCCCACCATGCCCATTCTGCTGTATGTTGCCCAAAACGTCAGTTACTTGTGCTCATCTCCTTTCCTGGAATAATGACAATCCTGGAGGAAACTGAAAGCATACGTAAGAACAACCTCTAATTCGAAACAGTAAAAAAGATCTTTTCTTAGCACTGTCTTCAAGTGTGACGACATGAAAAATATTGGTTGTGCAAGCGCACCATCTGCTGGCCGAAAATGAACTTCGGCAAAAATATTCTAAGAGAAAACATTGACCAGCAGCCTTCTCACCAACAGTTTGGTACCAGGGATTTTTCCTTCTTTTCCTCTGAACCACACTGGGCTGTCACATTAACTGGTCAGTCTGTTTACACGCTTCCTCGCTGTCTATTCCTTTCACTAATATTTCTCCTTTGTTGTTTATTTTTAACTAATACCAAATTATAGGTATTGTGGGGTTTTTTATCCCACCTGTTACCTTTTTCTCATCCACCCCTTTGTTCTCCACTCCTTGCAACTTTCAGTGTTTCCTTTGTCTCCTCTTCCTATGCACCTAACACTTGATTTAGGATTACCGAATGCTGCTCTTCTCACTTCTCCTCAGCCTCCCAATCTAATGACAGACCAATTCCATGAGGAGGAAATCTCTGACCACCTCTTTGACCAGTCAACACTTCAAAACTGGATATTACTGCATGCTCTTTTCTTTGGAATTGTTGGTCATGCAACAGTAACCTTAAGAAACTAAAGTCGAAAGAAAACAGCACGAAGTGTGCGTTTGTAAAATGCTACACCAGAAGGCATTATCTGACAACATTAAATAAGAAAAAAGTATCAGAGAAGAAAAATGGCAGCTTCTATTTCTTGTAAAAAACACTGCTTTCCCTGTGCCCCATTTTCGGCCTCCACAAAGCAACACCTATGTCTCTTCACCACAGCACCTCAAGTCAAAATCTTCAGTTATTTCCCATATAATTTTTATACAGCTATTTGGACACACAACAGAATTAGGACTAGCTGCTTTCTCTAACAACAGACAACTGGACATTTATAGCTATCTTTCAATGAGCACATAACCTAGTGCAAAAATTGAACTGCCTTAAGCCATACTGGCTGACCATATTTATCTTTGGACAGAGTTTTCAAGTACTTTACCTTTTGTGAAGAAATATGAAACATTAGCAGAGCCTCAGACCACCTGCCACAGCAAAATTCTGCCTTTTTTTTTTTTTAATGACTGGAGAAGGCAATTACATAGAACATGAAATAACTCAAGAACTCCATGCTAGAATCTTCTGCAGAAAATTTTGCCCTGTATTTTTTTAAGAAAACAAATCTTTTTTTAAATCCTAACATTTCTTCTGTTGGTCTCACTACTTAAATAATCCTTTCAAAACTTAGTTCCCACAGCTGCTTACGTAGCCTAATTGGTATCAACGGATATTCTCTAATTCACTGGATAACAAAATCTGTGTTAAGAATCCCTTCCTGTCTATGGAGATCTTGGCAAATAACCAGCAAAAATAATTTGCTTAGGAAGTTTCCATTCCATCTATTTTAATTCAGAGATCATTTCCAGGAAACTGGTGGCATTCCAAGCACGTAGAAAGAACAGCTAACAGTCTTTCTTAGTGAAAGAGATAAATCAAGTATTTAATATTTTAATTTTAAATTAAAAGTTACTTAAAGTACTACTAAATTTCTACAGAGGTAAACAGATAACAAGCATACTAAAATGTTAATAAATAAATGAGAAGGAATTTCAAAGTTCTGGAGAGTTCAAAGGGAAGAAAGGGAAGAGTATTACGATTGGGAAGTCATACGATCAGTAAGAGTAGCAATATCCTGCTATCTAAGGACAGAACTGCTTGACTCTTTCAGATGTAGAGTTAACTTCAACCTTGCTTGGAGTCTTTAAAGTGAGTAACACAAGGATTTCAAGGGAAAGACAGATTCTCAGTCACAAAGCAAGAATGTATCCTCCAAGTACAGTACCCTTTGAAAAAGGGCTGGAAGAGATAAACTTCATAAAAAGCTAAGCATACTTCATCATAAATGCTCCCATTGATATCTGCTCCATAAATTGGTGCCACAAAAGTCAAGTTCCTCCAGTATTTACGCTCCAGATCTTCATAATCTACGTATCTTGGGGTGCAGTATCTGCAGAGGAAGAGGTAGGCAAAGGTTCAGCATAGTCTTCCAAAAACCATCTTCACAAAGGACTATGCTTCTGATGCTGCAAACTGAATGCTAATAGATTGCTTTATATAAATACTTGATATTATATATATATCATATATATAAACAGAGGAATGAGTAGTTATCCTGAATTCTTACTTTCATGATTCACCACAGCATGTAACCTCATGGCAAATATATATAACCTGACAGCCTCAGTAACTGAAGTCATACACCTACTCTTATAAAGTACTTCCTTTAGCCTCAAACAAATAAACAGCAGATCTACTGACTGTGCTCAGGCTGAGGCCTTCACTTTTGTTTCTCTCCCATAAAAAAGGCACACATGCAAAAGCCACTTAATTGACAAGTATTTTTTATTTACCTGCCTCGCTACCAATTCTACAAACACAGTAATAGGTCCTGCAAAAGCCTTCCTTGGAACAACTCAAGCGTGCCAATTCTGCCCAGCACTGGGCACCATACTTTTAAATGCATAAATACAATTATGCAGATACTTTTAGAAGGTTACTCAAGCCTCTTGTACAAACTTGGGGGAATACAACACAAGCACAGTACCACAGAAAACATCCATTAAATAGCTTTTGCCTTAGGATCCTTTGTCAGGCCTCTGTTCCCCCATATTTAGGTCTTCAGAAAAGAAAATCTGCTCTCCCATTACTGCAACTCTGAGAAGTAAAGTTTCACATTAGCACTGCCAATTTAGTACATACATCTCAATTACTGGGAAAAAAAAAATCCATACATGCAAGAATTAAGTAGACCAGGTACATTTACATCACGAAGCAACACAGAACAGAGACAAGCAAGTTAGCAAAACACATCTTAACTGAAGCAATCTCAGCAATGGAGTTGTTTCAATAACCTCTCATGGTAAGGCTCCAGAAAACAGGTTCTGGCACTGAGTAATATGGATAAATAAACTCAGTATCAAAACAGAAGTAGCTTGATTAGAGGATGCAATTATGCCCATATTTTCCAGAGGTCAAGGTGAAGCACCACTTTGGTTCAGTGATGAATTGCAAATGCAACAAAGTAAATGCATAAAGTAAAAGATGCAATGCATTAGACTAAGCACACACAATCCTTTTAAAGGCAACTATGATTTAATTTAGAAGTTCATGGCCTTTCTCTTTCCAAAAGAATAAGGATATTATCACAATACTGCATAAGAGTCTTCTGCATTAAGGAACAAAATTATTTTTATGGTAAAACAGGGGCTTTCAGCTACTTAATAGTTTAAGAAATATAGACTGCATTAAGAGTGTCATAGGCGGTTGTATGACACATTTTCTCAAGAACAGTGATTAATATTTAGAAAGACATACAGCTAGTAATAGGCAAGAAGCCCTCCCAAATGTTCTTAAATTCACCAATGAAATGAAGTTGTAAACTGATTTCAGCAAAATATATGAAAACTTTCTGGGGAAAAAAAAAACAACAACAACAACAAAAAAAAACAACAACAACAACAAAAAAAAAAAAAAAAAAAAAAAAAAAAAAAAAAAAAAAAAAAAAAAAAAAAAAAAAAAAAAAAAAAAAAAAAAAAAAAAAAAAAAAAAAAAAAAAAAAAAAAAAAAAAAAAAAAAAAAAAAAAAAAAAAAAAAAAAAAAAAAAAAAAAAAAAAAAAAAAAAAAAAAAAAAAAAAAAAAAAACAGAAACACTTCCAAAATATCTTCAGTTATAAACAATATAGAACTTAACTAACATGATGATACATACTAAAACCTGCACAGCATTTTTGCATTATCAAACTATTTTAAGAAATTAGTGTTTCTCACGGGTTAATGAAACAGGAACATTAAACATATATTAACAGGTATCATAGAAAATTACATCTGATACCAGACAGGTTTTATATTATTACAGAACAAATAATTTTAAGAATTATAAAATAGGTTCCCATTCCTACTTACCAGAGGGAAAAAACTGTAAGCATGATAACCTCAACTTTTCATAAAGAATATACAGGCAGAAACACACTAATCCTTTTTAACTGAAAAAAGGAGATCACTTTTGCACTTTTACAAGGCCATGGATATTATGAAACGTTTGCTGAGGAGCCTCTTTAAAAGGTATTCATGTCCTAGTTTTTCCTGATCTTGATAACAGCTTGTCTTCTTACCAATTAAGTTCTTTAACTTACGAGAGAAACTCTGCTTTAAACTAGGGCAGTGTTACCTTCCTTCATCACATTCAAGTATCTTTTCTCTATAGGATCTTTTGATTCACCTTCCAGAAACTACTTCCAGTCAGTTCTGAGAAAACACTGAAGTAGAATTTATTCTTTATGTGGCCAAAAGGAATGGAGAAGAATTTCTTCTCTCCATCTTGCCATAGTCAGAACATAGACATTCACAAGGTGCAGTAGAGTTCTTTTAGACTAACGCAAAAACTTCTGGGTGAGCTAAAAAACATGATGGGGTTTGGGGTTGGTTTTATTTTACAAATTACATGATGATAGGCCAGTCCAATATGTAGGCCAAAAAAAAAGAATTAAACATCAATAGTTGTACTCAAATTCAAACTCTACCTGTATCATGTTCATTATTTTCTACATAATCATTTGTTAGAACAGAAAGAAAAAAAGGTAGACAGAAAGCATCATGTCTCAGGTTTCTCAGATGCTTTCTTATTGTTATGCTTTCAACAACAGAAACATAAACAAGATTCATGTGGTACTTTTAATGTAGGAGACAGAAAAACCTCTACTAAGTGCGGGGGGGGGGGGGGTAGGAAATCACCAACTGCCTAGCACAATCCAAAGAAACCACAATATGGGAATAAATAAATTTTTGCCTTTCAAAGCAAGACCCCCCCCATATACATACTTGGTACTGTTGGCCAATTGCTTGAACTCCTTTACTGTCATTGGCTTTTTCTGAATGTTGTACTGTGTGAAAAGCCCCGACTGGCCAGTGACCATCTGCTGAATTGGAGCAGGAATCACCAAATCTTCAATATCATCATAATGTTTTCTTGGCTTCCACTCTTTCGGTGGGATAACCTTTAAAGTCAGAAATCAAAAACAGGACATTGACAGTTGCAACGCCAGTTCAAAACATTCTGGAAAAATCAAATAAACCAGTCATACACCCAATGCTCAAACGAATGTTTGCGTACCCACTGTTTCACAATAATGAACTGACCATCCAAATGCTCCTAGATAATGCAGAAACCAATTCAAAATAGTCATAGTATTACCTCAGTTCACAACCAGCAACTCGCTGATCTACAGCAATTCAATCATGTGCAACTGTGCAAACATACACATGCATAGTAACAGAGCAAATATTTTATAATCAGAAAGCTTTATAATTCACAAACACTTCATACTCCATGATATAAAATTGTTAACATCATTTAAAAAAAAAAGAAAAAAAAAAAATCATACAAACAACTGAAAGTTCCCTGTCTAAATGTTATTTGGTGCAAACAGTATGAATAACTATTTCTCACTGAAAAATTAAAAAAAAACAATAAAGCTATTTTAGAAAGCTTTCGATTTTAGTGTCTGTTCAACTAACTCCCCACCGTAAAACTTCAGGGTACAACTCCATTACAGTACGTTTGCACTAATTCAGATAAACCAGTTTTTATACTATCATGGTTTAAACCTCATAATTAAAGAATAAAGCTATGTGCAGATTAATCAATTGTAAAGTTAACACTTCCATTCAAAATACCACAGAATTGCCCGATGTCTACAAAAACTCCTCAGCAGAAAGTGTTAGAAATAAAATCATTAGGAATTTTAAAGAAGCCTGTAGTCATACCAGTTCTTTAACAGGCTGTGTAATTTTGAACATTCCTTGCATACATCATCTCAAAATAGAATACTCTTTAGATGTGAAATCACAACATTTTTAAAACACAACATATTTAATACATATTTTTGGGGTTCATTTGGTTTTGAACTTTTACTTGCCCAGAGGCTCTATGGTATGTCCTTTGACCCACTCACATTCATTCTTTTCTGTGGTGCTTAAATCAAATTTTCACAAGCATTGGCTTAGAACCTTTTAGATGAGCATACAACAAAGTAGGATGGCTTTCATAAGCAGACATCTACCACACATGAATTACGTTACTTGAATAATTCACATCTTAGAGGTAGCCTTTACACTAGGCTAGCTAGGCCATTCCTCCAACAAGCATTTCAGAATTCCACACAATATTGACCATTACAGATTTTGCTATTACATCACTCCAAGTAAGAAAAAATTCTGAAAAAATAGCACAAATAGATCCTGAGATCATTTTCTACTTTTGGAAAACAATCATAAATTGTGATTTGCTAATATACTCAAACAATCCATTCACCAAAGAAATCCAATCAAGACCATTCATGGAAGCAGGCACACACATCAAGCTGAAGAAAAGTGATCAGGGAATAACACACATCCATACCTAATGTTTTCATTTTAAACATAAACAGGCATTTTTATCCAGTTTTTACACAAGACGCAATTCCCTCTTTTTCTTTTTTCCTTCTCAGCTTCCATGGGACTTAAGTTGTACGGGGACTACCTAGCAAGTTTTGGTGGTGTTTGCTTTTAGAGAAAACAGACCAAAAAAAATTGAATCACCTCGTGACTCCTACTTATTTCTTTCACACAAAAATTATATGCACACCAACAAAACACAGAATGTTGGTCTGGAAGGAGAGAAGTCATGCAATCAGAAAATAAGCATGGAAATCAAATGTGCACAAAGATTTCCATTTTCATTATTAAGCATGAATTTGTAGGTTTGGCTCAAATATATGAATACTGAAAAGGAAAATTTGCATTATGTCATGTAATTCAAGGTCAGTATGTTTTAAGCAATAAAAATATTTCTGTGAATACAGGTTCAAAACATCCCCTTGCTGCCAACTGGAGCATGTTTATTACCGTTGTAACCACAGCACTGATCAGAGAAATGAATCCTGTGTGGACTTGATGTACTAATTAAAAAAAAAAAAAAAAAAAAAAAAGAATGAAAAAGAAAACCTAACAACCTAACAGAGTTCCTGCCTAAAGTATTTGTTCTCTAATAAAGATTAGGACAAGGACCAGAGGTGTTAAAAATATCATGCCCAAAGTGACACATGGCTAGACAGTTTCAGAGTTGGGAATAATGACAAAGTCTCTAAGTTTTTACCATTGACCTGTCTCACTGAAGCCTCTTCACACTCCCTTTAGTAAAAATAATCTCTTCAAAGTCAGGCAAGTTAAGTTTATTCCACAGAAGCAACCTAGATTGAATTCATCAGCAAAGCTCAAATATAAAAAGGGAAAAACCTAAGGCAAGGATTTCTCATTTATGTATCTGCAGATAGACACGTAGACGGATAGATAATTAGATATGTATCTCAAACATCCCTAGCATATTAACACTGTCTAGTGTTATTTAGCATGAAATACAGATTTAGATAGGGACGTCCTAGTTATAACACTCCATCTCCTTTATTAAGGCTGCACATTAGTATAACAGAGGTTATTTCAGAGTGCTATCAACACAAATTTCTGTTCAATCCTCTTTCACATACTGGTAATCTCCTGTTCTGCGTTTGACTCTGAATGGCACTGGCTACTACTTCTATGTAGTTACTTCTACCCCTACTCTTCCGAAAAATGTTTTCTTGCAGTTGCTAACATTTTCAGAATCAGGTTCCAAAGCTATTTTACTACTTGCTAATGCAACTGCAAATTAATTTAACTAGTTCACTCTATATAAATGCAGTTTGAGTCTCCAAAGCATTTCTCATCCAAATAAAGAGCAACTAATCTACCAGTGTTTGTTGGTTTTCATTTGTTCTATTGCCTCCAAGTCCCTGTTTTCTTTTTTAAGTGTAAGGATCCTCTGTAATAGTAAGACTAAAATACACTGTCAATTCCTAAAGCTCATTCCATACTTTCAAAAGTGAAGTATTTTAGCAAATTTGTTCCAGGGATGCCACAGCATGTCTTCTACTCTGGAAATAAACGGTGTAATATTGTTTCTCTAGTACCTTAATCATTTATTCTAGGCATATTATTAGGAAGTTTGGGGTTTTTTTTTTAAACTCTGTATTCACAACACACACACGCACCCGCAGTGTGCAAGCCCTACAGACATTTACATACAAATATTCTTCCACACAGGTTAAAAGGTCTTCTCCCCTACACACTTTCACATTTAACCTAAAGCGTTGGATATACCTACTCTGCTTATGATCTCTGTTTAAAGCTTAAATTACCATTTTTGCATATGCACATAGCTCATCTGGTAGTCTTTATTCTCTCAGCATTCATATTCAAGTCCATACATCCCAGACCTAATATAAATTAGATCCTTTGTCAGTTCATTTTATAGTAATATATTTTTGTTATTTTAAATCCAATGTCCAAAACTCAGAAAATGTCCCTTAAATTTTTGCAGTATGAATTATTGACTTGATAAGAACTTTTTAAAAAAACACTTCATTTTTTATATATAATTTTTGAGATATATCAAAAAACAGTAAAAATCAGAATATAAAAAATCTCTAGACTACTTAGTAGTATGTAGCAACTGATTGACATGCTGAAAATAACCAAAGATGCTTTAACTGCTATTTAGTATCAAGCAGACAGGGAAATCAGACCTACACGTTACAGTTAGAAGGACGCTTCCTGAATCATACAACAACATGAGTAATGTGATTAATCAGTTTTAAAAGGTTTTGCTATCCTTTCTTTCAGACATTATTCCAGCTGTTCAGCAGATACCCCACATGCATATAAACACAGATACATACAAATATTTTTCTGTGCTCCTGGGACTACCTCATTTTAACAACCTGCACATAGAGAAGACCTTCACAAACGGTTTTGAAATGTGATTGATGGCATGGGAATTAAATCCTAGGTGTATGGCCAAAAAATGGAGACATACACATTTTCAATCATGTAAGCACAAGGACACTGACTTCAAACAAGCCAAATTACACTATGCAAAATATCACAAATTCCTGACTACAGGGACAAATTCCATCCTTGTCAGGTATGTCCAGCTTTAGTGACTTCAACAGAGATGGTATAAAACTACAAGTGCTATTAGAGTAGTGTCACTTTCTGTAAATCAAATCTTGGAATTATTTTTAAAACTCTGCTCATTTCCAGTTTCTCTTAATTGCATATATGTGTACAATTTGAGGGAACAGTAGATTTTTGCCAATTTCTTTTTCTGAAGGGGAAAAAAAAAAACCAAAACAAAAACCAAACTTGTATAGTCCAGATAAAACTACAAAATAAATAGCTACAGTTTGATAACAGCAACAACACTGGAAGGTTCATTCTTAAGGAAGCAGCTCATGATCTCATGAGCAAAGAAAGTGGTTTCAATTTGTATTTAATTAAACCTAAAAAAAAAAAAAATTTGCTTGAAAATTAACAATATAGGTTACTCAGTTATAATTAGAGATATGTGTCTAAAACATACTATCCACTTCTCATACTAATCCTGAATGCTGTCATATCTCTTTGATTGCCATTTAAGTTAATATAATGGACTCCCCACTCATTTTCTACATCTTGCAGCATTATACCATAGTGAAGAAGAAAAGACCAGAGCCTAACCTCTGTTCTTCTGTTGCCATGATCACTGTTCTTCAGTGTTAAAGAAAATTAAACTAAACAGTATATGCCTGCATCCATTCCACAGCCAACATCTGCATTATACGCTAAAATACTGTAACACCTGGTAGATATCACAGTTGCATCTAGCATTTAAAAAAGTCAGCTTCACATATTCATGTGCCTACCTTACAAGAGTAACTACTACTTTGGCCCACTATCATGTTTCCTTGAAGTGTTTCAACTTCAAAACAAAGTTTACAGGAAACAAAGTTTGCATTTTTACTCATAAGTTTTCTGCTTTTAAAATGACAGCATTAGTATATTTTATTCCTATTATGTCATTTCTGCCCTTAAGTAACAAGTGCATATTCAAATCATACCCATTTCCTATATGCGAGAATTAATCTCATGCTTGGTTACTGCAGAAAATTATGTCTAACCGGAATCTTCACAAAGATATCTCCTTAAAGATTTAATGGGGGGAAGGGGGAGTAGAGAACACTAGGAGTAAGGACATGAAGGTAACAGCAATAGTACAGAAATTTTAAATTATACAATGAAGGTAAAACTGTTTCACATAAATTTTTTTCATATTTTTTTCCTAATGATACTATGTCCATTGCTCTTTTCAGGACATTTTTAATGGCTCTGCCCTTTTCTCCTACACTGGCTACACATGGAAGTTTAATTGCTGGATAGCAGGAAAGGAACCAGAACCAAGATAAGAGACCAAAACAGAATGACAACAGAAGCCATATTCATATCTCAAATAAATCTGAATAATATTTCCAAGTAAAACAAATTCACTATCTTTTTACACTTCTGGCTGAAACAGCCTCAGAAGAGCATTTAGCACCATGAACCAGTAAGTCACTGACCAGCATTCCCAGAAAAGAAGAGAATAAGCACAAAAATCCTTGATGGAGAGTAACTGAAGCTCTTACTTATTATGAATGTCTCAGAAATAAGAACAGAAGTTTGCATGTACTTTTTAAGGATTACAATATCATACTTGATGATACACCGCCTCAGAATGGCCAGAGATAAATAGATAGACAGTTTTTAAAGGCAAATGTACTTTTTTTTTTTTTTAACTAAGAAGATTCTAGTTTTAAATACTATTGAATGAAAAGATTAGTTGTGGTCTACAATAGACATGGCCATAATAAAAAGCGTATCACAAATATTCTTCTTTATAAACAAAACTAGTTCATTTTTTGGTTTGGTTTTTTTTCATCTTACACACTAACCCTGGTTCATATAACAGCTTCCTCATACAGCCAGAGAAAGCAAAGAGTACGATTTATCTATACCTGTCCCTGTTTTATACACAATATGCCAAAGAAGCAAGCACATTACGTATGAACAAACAAACTGAAATAGAAGATGATCAGTACCACCTTCGCAGCTGGTCATAAGGCACTTTCTAGTTTTTTTGCTAGATCCCCGTGAAACAGGATTAGAAACTATGAACAGCTGAAACAAAGCTATTCTTATAAACAATATGAAACCAAGAATTGTTTTTTCTTTTTAAATTGAATACATGTACATAATCCACAGAATGATACATAGCTAGAATCTCCTGCTCGCATATATGTTAATGGTGTAAGTCTGTTGAGCAGAAGTCACTACGATGAATTTGCCATTAAGTTTACTGTTCAAGATGAGAGGACTTGCTATAGTTCATCCCCACACAAATAAATAGGTTCCATAACATAACTGAATATGGGAAAAACTCAGCTCAGGCTTCCCACTGTTGTCTATTTATCACATTTCTAGTCCTGATTGCAAAGGCAATGCAAGGATACTTAGTACCCCTCCAATTCTCATTAACAAAAATATAAAACTATCATCATCAAAAAGAAAACTATTTCCATTCAGACAGTGCCTCGCTATCTTCATGCATACACCCATTAGCAGTAGTTGGATTATTTGCTCCAGTAAAGTTACACACAACCCTAAAAGACCAAGTTCAACATCTGGTAGATCTAGATTTTCCAATTTATACTACAAACTCCCTATTTTGTTCCGATTTGCCAAAAATTAGTTTAAATCTGCCTTTAAGAAGAAATCCTCTTGTGCTGTTGTAAACATGGAAACAGTTGATTTTTAGAGAGAAAACAGTCTACGTCTTCTTCATTAGTTCGCATGAAACATCAAAGATACCAAAAAGCTCTTTCTTAAAACAGTAACAATTCAGCATCAATTATTTGAAAATCATTTGGGGAAAAAAAAAGCTAAATACTCAAAAGATCAGTTTTGCAATCAGCAAAATACAAATACTAGAAAAAGCAAATATTAGGAACCATTTTCCATCTACATTAGAGAAGTTTACCTTTGCAACTCCAGCCCTATGAGCACCTTGTGATTCCATGTACACTAAGTATTTGTTGAACTCCCTGAATTCATCCATCGAAGGCCTAAAAGTCATGATTTTGCAGCTTGGGTTTGGAGGACTATCAGAGATGACAGCAGACATTGTGGTTCCTTTCAATCCAGCTTTTAAGAGAAAAAAAAAAAAAGGCAAAAAAAACACAAAATAAACACACTGAAAAGAATAATTAGTAAAACAAATTCTGAGATTTGACATACACGTTTCAAACAGGAAAAAAGCTCTCAAAATCTTCTGCCCATGCTACCATAAAAGGCACAAATGTATTCTTTTTCTCCTTACTCCTTCAAGAATATCTGGCCCTTACCCAGCACAAACATTATCATGACAGTCCAGTCCATACCTCCATTTTTATGGCATGTTTCTTCTAGTTAACCTTTAATATCACAGTAGCATCTTTCTATGTTGATCCATCTGCAAGTTGCTGCATTTTTCTCTCTAAAGATTTCCATTACACAGACACAATCTAAAGTAACAAAGCTACACATTTGATAAAACATTCCTATTTAGTGTATGGCGAAAACTGATTACTCACTTTCCTGTCACACTACAAACATATAGAAAGAGCACCTCCACTTCCTAACTCTAGTATCAGCAGTTTAACAACTGGACTATTATTAGCCCTCATTCTCTGAAATCTCTTTTACAGAAAAAAAGCATGCAAGTGATACGCATAAAGACGGTCAGCGTTCTCTCTGATTTCCATTTCTACATTGCGGACAGATAAAAACAAAGTCATATTTCTGTTTCATACCAAGATGCAGTACTCACAAAAGGACTGATCTTTAAGCAACTGAGAGAGATATTTCAGCTTCAACAGGTCTTGCAATTTCCAACTATACATCACCACATGCCATCTTACAAAAAAACTCATCTAGAATACAAATAACTCAACTGTGACTAACTTTTTGGTGGTTTTGCCTTCCTGAGCATGTAATTTTACTTATTCCTCATTTTCTGTATCTGCAAAATGCACGCAACCATGGATTTATGCCATACACTCTTACCGTAAGTTTTGCTCATGTCAGTGTATTAGCCACTAATTTCATTAGCTTTATGTCCCTCCTAGCTTGGTATGAATCACTGCATAAGAAAACTGTATACGGAAGATGCCTTTATGTTTCACCCTCCAACAGGTATTCCAACATTTAGTCTGCATTTTGTGTCCTGATTTTATTTCTTTTTGCCACCCCACTTCACCCTGCACACCACACTCTAGTTCGTACTTCATTAGACTTCTTTCTACACTCCCACCTTCAGTAACATCCTATTCCCCACTCTACACTACTTTCCACCCCTGTCTGAAATTAAATTAACCAGACTGCTACACCTCTTCCATTCTGACAATCAGTACCGCTTTAATTTGGGAGTATTTTTGCATTTAAATTAACAAGCCCACATGGGCAAACACATCTCAACATGAAAAAGTGGAATTACTTCCCTCAGCGGTAAACACTTGGCTCATATATAACGCACCCTTCATTTGTTCCCATCCATTAGAGTTCCACATAAAATCTTGCTCCTATGACCAGTCCCAGGAAAATGAAATTTAGATTTATGACCAAAGATGAAGCTATGCTTTCCTTCACTGTGAAGTACAATAGGCAGTGTCTACTATTTATAATGCTTTACTGACAGTAAAGTGACACTAGAAATATAATCAAACAGGGTATTTGATTTCTCTGTACAAAAAACAGCTTTTAGACTTTCACTTTTATATGTATTAAGTAAGTATACAAATCAGTGAAATACACACACATATGTACAGATACCTCCCACCTCTAAAAAACCCAAACTCTCTGCTATTTCTCCACTGGGAAAAAATTTAATAGTCCTTCATTATTCATCATTTTACAGCTTTCAATCCATTCCATTGACTGTATACAAGATACCCAGCAGTGAGAAGTTATTTCATCATAGCATACAGATTAACATCCTTCCCTCAACTCTTCCAGTATTACCCAACATTGTCAGTGCAGTTTTGTGGGGTGGCTTTGTGGGGAGGGAGAAAGGGCAGAGAGGAGGAGTGTAATTTATTCTTTGACTGGTCTGGTGTTTGTGAGGGTTTTTTTTTTAAAGCAAATTACTTCAGCATCCACTTACGAATTTGTCTTTTACACCACTAATATTCTTTCCTTTAGTGGATAGATGAACTTCTCAGAAGTGTGTTTTATCCACTTACATTCCCGGTACTAAGTTCAGCGTCCCCAAACCAAGTTAAGCATTCCTAAAACACTAACAGATTGGGGGGGGGGGGGGGGCGCAGAGCAGGGGGACATGCTGCAACAAACAATAGTTGGCATTGGTTCAGCTAACTAATAACTGAACTGCTGTCTCACTACCTCAACACCTCCCAGACATGCAATTTTATCCAAGACAACCACAGCAACTATATCTACTTAATTCAATGTGGTATTTGTAAACAATACAAAAATGGGAGGATCGGTTGATACACCAGAGGGTTGTGCTGACACCCAGAGGGGCCTTGCCAGGCTGGAGAAATGGGCCAACAGGAACCTCATGAAGCTCAACATGAGGAACTGCAAAGTGCTACACCTCGGGAGGAGCAACCTCAGGTATAAAGGGTACATGCTGAGGTCTGGCAGGCTGCAAAGCAGATTTGCAGAAAAGGCCTTTAGTGGTTTTGGGAAACACAGCCAGCATCAAAGGTGCCTAAAGGTGTCCTCAGCTGGATTCGTAGGAATGCTGCCAGCCAGTCAAGCGGGCCAGCAAGATATTGAAGGGACGGAAGCATCTCCCTGAAAGAGCTAGGAGGGTTCAGACCAGGGGAGACGAGGCTTGGGGGAACCATATCAATGTATATAAATATCTGCAGGAAAGTGCAAGGGGGAGGGACCCAGGCTTTTATCAGCAGTGCTGTGACAGGACCAGAGGCAATGGGCACAGGCTGAAACACAGGAGGTTCTTCCTGAACATAAGGAAACAGTTTTTCACTGTGAGCATGGTCAAACACTGGAAGAGGCAGCTGAGACAGGTTGTGGAATCTCCAACCTTACAGATACTCAAAGCCCAACTGGACACAGTGCTGACCAACCTGCTCTAGCTGACCCTTCTTGAGCAGTGATGTTGGCTACATTTTCTCAAGAAGTCTCCTCCAGCCTCAGTGAGCCTGTGATTCTGTGATCTTATCCTTGTGTAGCTAGCTACAAAGAGCCAGGCTCTTCCCAATGGCGGCCAGAGAGAGTGTAACTGGCAACAGGCACAAACCAAATACATTAAATTCTGTTTAAGCATAATAAAAGAATTAGCACAAGGGTGACTGAATACTGGAACAGGTTGCCCAGAGAGGTTATCGAGTGTCCATCCTTGGAGATACTCAAAAGCCAGTTCAACACTGCCTGAGCCATATATTCCAGCAGAGCCTGTTTTGTGTTAGGAAACTGGACTAACTCCCAGAGGTCCCTTCCAGCCATCCCAGTTCTCTAAGTCTGAGCTCTAAGTTAAACACCTATTTACTGCTCGAAGTTAAACACTGCAGCTAAACAACCTTTTTAATCCTAGTTTTGTTTATGGGCACAAAACATATGCAAGCACAGTGTCTGTATGTGTTCCTACAAACCTGAGGCTCTGTCTTACTTAAGTTTTGGAATTAAACTGCCTTAGGTGAAGGAGTGTAAGTCTCAAAGATAACTGATTTCCTACACTCCTTATGAAAATGTGTAAACAGACAAGCAAAAGCCATATCCAAGTGGTTCAGCTATGAGAAAAGCTAGGATGATTTCAGCTAGTACCTGATTTCAAGCACCAGACACAAATTATCACACAAACAAGCATAATAAAAATTTCTCTCAACCAAGACATCTCACCAAAACACATCAGTTTTAATACCTGAGCTGCTTTAAAAACATCCATGTACCAAATGAACTAAATATACCCTAGCACTTAGCCACAATGAAGAAATTAGTTAATTTAAGGATTGTTAATCAAACTAATAAACAGCAATTGTCAATCTAACTTCCACAATTACACATGCCAGCATGTTTGCCTGCTGCTTGATTCCTAAAATCCTGTTTGCAAAACATATGAAAGTAAAGATACTAACTAGGCTATTTTTTTTACTTCTCTGGAACTAAAATAAGGTTCAAGCATATAACTGAACTGTATTGTGATGAATCCAAATCTGTATCACAGGCAGAATTAAAAACTTTTAACTAATTATGAAGACATGTATAGCATCAGAAAGGAAGAATTTTTGCCCAGCTTAACTGAAGTGTAAAAAATACAAAATTTTTTTAACACGGCATCTTTTTTCCTACCTGCTTCCATACATCTTAGGGTCCTGTTCCCTACCTAATGACCACAGAGACCAGCCAGCAATGTTATTTTTTTTGGTGGAAATACACTGTAAGACCCATGCTCCTGCATTACCCTTCTTCCTCAGTAAGAGACTTCTTTCCATTCACTTACTGGGTAAGCAGCTCTTTGATAAGCACGATGTTTGTAAGAACACTCCTTAAGCAGATTCTGCTATGTAACCTCCATAGTTAAGGAGGTAGAAAGATCATAAAGGCTGTGCAGTACTTGCTACACTAGAAGTCCACAGACTTCTCATTAGACAATGCTATTTACTTTTTCTTAGTGATTTAACACCTGTATAGTTGTGACCTATCAGCAGAGACTTCTTAATTTCGTTTCACAATTTTATTATTGCAGTAATGTTCATTACAAATGTTAATCTAAAACAGCAAGCACCAAGACTGAGTTACATGGTTTAAACCTACCACAGAAACAAACCTATGCTGCAAACTAACCATATACGTCTGCTTTCCAATTCACTTCTATTAACTTCTAACACACTTATGTAATTCTCTCAAGGACACTGTGGAATTCAAGAGTTCTACATCCTTTCTCCCACCAAATTCCTACTTTTGCTCTTTCTCTTATATGAAAAGATCAATTAATACTCTACCAAATCATTAAAGCAAACACAAAATACAGTCCAGTGTTAAGTTAAGAAGCTTCCAGAGGTTCTTTTGCAGACAAGAACATAATTACTAAGATACCATTCTAAAGTGAAATCCACGCAATCATACTATTACTGTCTTAACTACTCCACATAGATGTATAACTGTGTGCAGATG